CCTAAAAAACAGTGACCCCCACAACATTTCCTTGTTGGCTCCAGCTAACTGAATAGACCCCATGAAGACACCCAACTACATAAGCTAGTGAAAGCACACTGACTGAGCCTAAAGAAATTCAGAAATCACATTATTTTACTGTAGCTACTGTAGGTAGCAGCAATGAGACAGTCTAGAGACACAGAGGTGTCCTAACAAAAATAGCAAGTTAGCAGCTACAAGCCGGGCAAATTCTAACTTATTTAGCCTAAAGGAAACTAGCAGTTGCCCAGCATGAGAGGGAGAATGTTAAGCTGTGTTATAAGAAAATATTAACAAATGTTTTTTATTTTATTTTTCTCCCCCGACACATTCAATATTATCAGCAACTTTGCCGTCACATTGTCTAAAACTGGCAGCTTTCCTTGCACATGCTTGTAAAGTCTACATCGAAACCGTTTCATAATTATCTGTCATGCTCTTCAGTTTTAAAGTTGTTGCTATTCACTTTCTTTTTCACCCCTGAATTCCCTGAATGTCTTGTTCATGCAACACAAACCCAGTAGGACTAAATCCATCCTATGTTCATTAACAGATATTTGTTAGTCTTACGATGTGTCTCTCACTTTGGCAAAGAAAGTGAAATTCCCCTGTAAAACACTTAGCACTGGGAGAGGCCTTGCATTTTTGTGGCCAATTTGAGTATTGACTTTTTGCTATCGACTTTGGCCGTGTTGTTTCAGTAGCCTTTGAGACCACCTTAAATCACTCCTATTAGACCTCCTCGTGGTTATCTCTTAGTCATTTCAATTTTTAGAATCCTTTGTATCATTCAGGTAGAGTGACATTTACCCATTTTCTTTCCCAACCCTTATTTTTTTGTCCTGGTACATTCAGTAGCATGTCTTTCTCTCGTTCCTACCTCAAATAATAATAGAGCTGCCTGACTGAGCAGATGGAAAAAGGCATACCTGGTAAATATGTCAACCAGCAGACAGCATAAAAGTAAAAGTTTTTGTTGTCACAAAACTGAGAAACTAAAATCAGCTGCTTCGAAACACAATGGCCTTTACCGAGACATACAAAAAGAATGACTATCCTCGAGCTATCTTTGTTCAGAAAAATATCACACTTGGCACCGTGGAGGGAGACATGAACACAAGTCTGTCTCAGAGTTCTTACGTTTGGGCAGCAATGAAAGATGGAGCTATAAAAACAGTGTTTGACTGACATTTATTTGTTTACCTGAAGTCTTCTTTTTGCTTTGTAGCCTAATGTTACCTAGATACAATTTGTAGCTCTTTCAACATGAAGAGAAAGACCTGAGGTTGGATAAAGGAGACAGGACATCCTATGGCTATCAGGTTAAACTGTTGGAAACTCAAATGTAGTCTTCAAGTCTTCAGATGAGCCGTCAGTGGCTCTGAACTCCTTGTCTCCACATGTGTACCTTGATAGCAAGAATTTGATGAAAGAATCATCTGATACTAACTAAATCTGAAATAATATCTGGATAATATTAATTTCAAATTTCCAGAATCAGACTGACCCTATGTCAAGCCCCATCCTCCTTAGGGCCCTGAGTTCGCAGTTGAGAGTTATGTGTTTGTCTTACTGGAAGTAGCCCAGCAACAGTTGCTATGAGAGGGGGCTCTCTGATTGTTGGTCAGCTAACCAATCAAACAGCCAGCAAAGGATCAATGGAAAGATATTATTATTATATTATTATTAGGTATAAGGGTAGATATTTCTATATATGTGCCAGTTCAGCAAAATTGGCTTATTTTTTAACTGCTGTAGGTTTATGATAGCTGGAAGGACACAATATATTAGATCACAAACATTAACATTACTTTACATATAGCATAGCATATTTTACTCACACATCCAATACTTTAGAAAACAGACATCAACACATGAAGCAAAATGAAACACACTTCAGGTTATATTAATGTTATTTTTGTCAGAAATATGCATTTCTCCTCTACACAGTATCAAAGCGACAACAGATTTACTGTCAAAAACATCTAAGTTACCATACAGGGTCAGAGGCAAAATGCAAATTCCAGAATAAAGATGTGTCCTCTGACATGAAACACAAGGCCTTGAGCAAACTAAATTCACATGATTTACTTTGAAGAGGAAGACGGGACGTTTTTCAACTCTGGTAAGCTTTAAATTATACATTCATAATGGATATACATACATACATTAGCACTCAACATCTGTCTCTTGAGGATTAAATCATCCGTTTTCCGTTCATTACACTTTTGAACCCCTTACTTTATTATGAAATAGTAATCTCAGAGTTTGCTGTTTTTACTGTGATGCCGTGTATTTGGAGGATAAAGGAATGTTTCTTCAAAACGCTATGTTTTCAATGTCAAATGCTCACCCCCTGCAGACTTGAAAGGTGTCTCTGAAAAGTTTGTAGTTCCTTTTCAAAAGGATGGCAGGTGCAGTCGGCTTGAATTCATGGCTTTTACAATGGATACCAACAGTGACCCAGTTTGCGGGGGGAAAGAGTTCACAGAAACTTTTCATACCACCACTGCAGCATGACAAACTTCACCTCTGTCCATTTGTTATTTTGGTATTCTTTACCTTCTTCACCATTATTAAACCAGATAATTTGGTCTTTATCAAACAAGGCTGCAGATCTGCAAAATGACCATGATCTGTCAACACAGTATTATATAGTGGAGGACTTTTTTTAATGCAAAACACACCTGGGAGAAGAAGTAAGCCTTTGAAACTCATTGTTATTGTTTTGAAATATTTGCAGTTTGGTTAAGTTAAGGCATAAAAACTTCTCATTTAAGTTGAGCTGAGAAAAAAAAAATGGTGGATTTGTCCCAGCCGAGTTTGTACTTGAAACAGTGTTTCATTGTATTTAAAGTCTATGATTTAACCACTTGAAATGCGACGTGGGTTAAGTTTGATCCTTGGCACCTAATGATGTCCATCAGGAAACAAGGGGACAGACATTTACGAGTGTGTCCCTTTTTTATTTTTTTCCCTTGCTGAGATTGTTGGGGTACTCTAGTTTTGTGTTGTTGAAAAAACAGCAATTCAGGAGCAACAGCATGGCAGGCTTTGGCAGGCCATAAATGTTTCAAACCGGGTCTCACAACTTACCAATTTACAATGTAATAAAGGTCAAAAACAGACGGCCATTGATTTGTACGATCCCATTGTCACTTGACCCAACCCTAGATCAAAGCCTGCACAGAATGCAGTTCTGCAAGACAGCTGAAACGAAGTTCCACCATCATGGCATCTTTTTACTTCCTCATTGCATTCACAAAGTCATTAAAATTGGTGTCCCAGTGTGAGGTTTGAAATTCCATTACAGCAATGGGGATCAGGGGTGGAACGACTTTGCCCCACCATTCTGCCCACATGGGTTACACATTGCCGGTGATGCGCAACAGGCATATATATATATTACCTGGTGATATGCAAGAGCCAACTTTAACTTGTGTATCCAACGTCTTTCAAGCTGTCAATATTGACTTTGGTTTTCCACTGGACTCTTAAGTCTGATCGCTTGGGTGACGAGACAAACCCAGAATTTGTAAAGGATTCCAGTGATCAGGTTCCCAATTGACTTTCAGTTGACATGTTTCCATTTTTCCATGTTGACAGTATATCATTTCCACACAAAAGTTGCCAAACCACTTACAGCTGTGAAAAGAGAGTGGGGTATGTGATGTAGTTCTGTGAGACAAGGCTGAAGGCCACGCAAAAATGTATGAGGAATGTTCGGTTCATTATATACTGTATATCAGTTAACGGGTGTGATATATGACTTTTTGAATTAATGCAAATCTCATTTTTCCAATTAGTAAAGGAGTAGTAGGTCATTGCATGCAACAGGACTAATTAGCAGTTTTTTTATACTTTAATACGTTTGTGTATCTTACAAGACAGAGGCTCAACCTTTCAAAATTTGATGCTAAGAGACTCAACCTTGACTTGTTCGAATGAATGAATGAATGTACAAGACGAGCCTAACCATTAAAAGTATTACCCTTTCTTCTTGTCTTTCTTCTTAAATGCCCCTCTCTTCCTCTGCCACTCACTACTCAAACATGTTCTTTCCTTCTGTGTCTGAGCTTGAAGGGGCACAAAAACCCTTCACTGATCAGAGCCTGTGCTGGTCCTGTTAATCCCAGCAGGACTCAAACATTAGCAGCACTGTAAGAGTCTGAGTCCACCTACACACTGTGACCATGCTGCGCGGTCATCGCAACCTGCACTGAATTTTGACCTGAAATCACAGAACCCTTACGGACTGAACCTTTGTAAAACTACAAGCAGGTCTTTTGATAGAAAGGAAAGTCTTGATTTATCAAAGGTTAAGTGCCATGAATTAAAAAAAAAATGGTTGCTTCCCTCTTCCTCTTTATGTATTGTCATGCTTCCTTTTCTTATAAAGCACATTGGCAGTACATTTCCATAACGACAGTTGTTCTTCACCATGAAAGTCCTCCACTTTCCTTCTCTCTTTGCAACTATCAATGCCGTTTTGTCTTTTTTTCCACTGCCTTCCTTTGAACTCTTACACAAGTGTTACACTAGCATTCAGAACCAAATTTAAACCATTGAAACAAACAACTATCTCAAAGCGGATACCAGGGTTATACACTTGTGGTGGTACGGAGAAAGAATGAATTCCATAAATCATTTAAAGCTTCGAAGGATGTTTTCTGTAGATGAACAACCTTCACTTGAGATCCCCAGCTCCTGCAGCCACATGTCCAATGTGTCCTTGGGCAAGACACTTAACCCCAAGTTGCTTCCGCTACGACGGCGGTGTATAAATGTGTATGAATGGGGACGGTTATTACTGATGAACACTTTACATAGCAGCCTCTGCTATCAGTGTGTGACTAGAGAAGCGCTATACAAGCTCAAGTCCATTTACCATTTATCATAAAATCTGGGCATGAAAAAAAGACGGTTTTTCAACCAATATGTGATCTTTTAAATGTGTGTTTTTGTGTCTTCTCATCCAGGTCCGGACGTCCTGTCAGCTTCATGGTGGTCCTCAACACTCCCAACCCCCTCAGTAAGATCTCCTGGGTCAACCGTCTGCACTTGGCCAAGATAGCACAACGTAAGCGCACACACACACACACACACACACACACTCACACACTCACAGGCATAGACACACAGGGAAAGGGATTACTCCGTCATTCCTATTTAAACAGAATGATGTAATGCAGTGAAATGTAATGACAATGTATTAAGGCAGCGGCTCAGACATACCACAGACGCACCATCAGTGTTCCCTTCACTCTCTATTTGCTAAGTGCACGCGCCTTGTGATGACTTCTAAAATCAGAGGAAGAAAATGGAGATTCTCTTCAGGGTCGTCTGAAGTTTACATGTCGAGGATGGAAGCAAACTGCTTTGGCAATTTGAAATGAATAACCTTGACTATCTTCCATGAAAACATCAATGAATTAGGAAAGTTTTTTTTTGCCAAGTGAGCGCGGCCGTTACCTACTATTTCATGAAAAAAGCATTAATTTCAATGTTGTACGACCAATTATTTTTACTGCGATGGATCCCTTTTTTTAAGCTCTGGTTGTCTGATTTATGGTGGTCAACATTCATGTTGGAAAAGATTGGCCAGACCGTGCCCAGCAGGGTGCAGCACCGTTCTGTATTTTATCTTCCCAACCTCTCTCCTCCAACCCTTGCCTTGCTCTGCCCGGGCCCTAAGCCCTACTGTGCAGTCTGACCCACTATAGGAGGTCTTCCTCTCTGGGCTTCATCAATGCGTGCTGTCATCCAGTGGTGAAAACATACATACATTAATCTTGTTATTTTGCCATGTTGGTACGCAAATCCAACCCACTCACCACCTCAGCCCCCTCCACCCCGTCCCTTCCCTGAGCTCTGCGTCGCCTTAAGCGCCCTTCCTTGTCACACGCGCTCTATTCTGGGTTTGTTTTGGGGGCGGTATGTGTCTCAGCGCCAAGTCTGTGTGCTCCGATCATATTGTTGTGGCTTCCCACGTCCCATAGGCCATTGCTGTAAGCGAGGCACAGAAGTATTTGAGGTTTGAGAGGAAGTTATTGGTTATTGGTGGATTAAAAGGACACTCGTTTAAATGTCTCGCTTAGATGAGTGGCCGGAGATGTATCTTTCGATGTTTTTAATACCCAGGCGTTGCCTTCAGAGGATCAGTGACACTTAATGTGGACAAAGGTCAAGATGTTTGCAATTTACAGAAGATTTCCTCCCGGGTGTCTTGCGATTCTCAATCTGTGCACAGTAAAAGAAGAACACTGGATACTGCTGGCCTTACAACCACAGTGGGGGTGTGGAAGTGCAGGAAGCATACAGTTTATATATGTTACAAATGTTACAATTCACTTAGCAGACGCTTTTATGCAAAGCGACGTACATCAGAGAGTAAGTACAACACTAATCCATTCATACACCGAAGCAGTGGGAGCAATGCAGGGGTTAAGTGTCTTGCCCAAGGACACATCAGACATGTATCTGTGGACTCTGCTGTGGATCTTGCTGTGTACAGTTTGTGTCAGAGTGGCATCAAAAACATCAGGCTGAGGAGTGCAGAGGAAGCCGTGATGGCAGAGAAGTGCAGCATCACTATCTCGTCATTGTTGCGCAAACCTTTATGAGCAACAAGGCAGACCTGCTAAGGTGGACAGCGGCATATTCAGGCCTTTTACCTGAAGGCCCTGACGCACCAAGCAGACGGCAAAAAACTAGTGATGAAGAAGGCTGACTGAGGCATCGTGAGACCTCGTTCGGCAAAGAACGCCTTTGTCTTGGCAAAGAAAATGGCACTTGAACACACCGCAAAGACTACAGCCGGCCACCACGTACGTTCTCAATTGCGTGAGAGAAAATAGCTCTCCATTCAAGCAGGCAACGGTGGTCTGTTGTTATGATACGAGAAGACCATTTTAAAGATTTATTTTTGGGCTTTTAAAGGAGAGATAGGACGGTGGATAGAGATGGAAATCAGAGTGAGAGAGAGTAGGGAATGACATGCAGGAAAGGAGCCACAGGTGGGATTTGAACATGGGACGCCCGCTTGGAAGACTGTAGCCTCCATACATGGGGCGCGAGCACTAACCAATGCGCCACCAGCGCCCCAGAGAAGACCATTTTCACACCGCTGTTGTTGCTCGCCACTTGTATTATAGGTACTTCTAATTGAGATTAATGTCTGAAAAAAGTTGAAAATGGCGCTGGTGTTGTCAGCCCTTGGGCTTTTAGTGGAAAAAGAAAAGAAGAGGCGGAGGCAACAAATAAGGAGAAACCGCACTAAATGGGTGAAAGCATGGATACTACAGCGGCATGCTCAAGGAGCTTTTCCTGAACCTGTGTCGAGAGCTGGAGAGAAATGAAACCTCCGAACAGCCAATCAGAGTACTCCTCTCACCTATTTACCGGCGGACTAAAAGCTATTGCACAGTTCAAAGGGTGGCCGACACCATTAACTGCATGTACAGCTGAAGGAGGAACAATCAACAGATTAGGAGTTTTTTTTAAAAACACATTTTTATAATTTATGTGGCCTCCACTAGAAAAAAAAAAACTCCAAATAAACATTTATTTAAATGTCTGGCTTTCATTAAAAGTTTAAATGTGGAAAACGCAGCCTGAACACCCTGAAGACAAGCGATAAAATGCTATCAAAATGTAAATATTGCACAGCTTTCCCTCTCACATCGCCTGACTCTATAATGGTACATCTGTCAGCATCAATCTGTCTTTGTCAGTGCTATTCAACCACCTTGTAGCCCCGAGCACTTTCCTCAGACAAGACGCTCCGAAGATAAACGTACAAATCTTTGCCTTTCCCGAAGTTAAAAAAGTTTCTCATCGCTCGACTGATCAGGGGGAAATTGACACATCTCAGACGGTTAGGTTTTTGGGCCTTTAGCCAGCGCTGCTTTTCCTGGGCATGTTACCACGAGAACAACAGCTTCGATCCCTCCATCAACCAACATGACAAGCAGCCAAGTGTAAAGAGAACAAGCTGCGAGGTGCAAGGAAAGTAATAAGCAGGCGAGTGAGGACGGGAAATAAAATAAGGAGGAGTGAGAAAAAGAGAAGAGCACTCTTACCCCAGAGGAATAAGGAGAGAGGAGGGGAATCGTGATTTCTGTGTATCAAACTCCAGACTGATTCGAGTAGTGCAGCTGCTGAGAGAATAAAAAGACCATCCTGTTTCACTCAGATGATGATCACTCATCTTTTGCTTTAAAAGCAAAGTGTGTAATACTTTCCACATAAATACAGCAGAAATCAAGTACATGTATATCCTCTGTACACGTCTCTGAGTCATGACTGTCTACAATGAGTGAGAAGCTCGAGTCCCGCTGGCTGTGATGTTGTCAGAGCCGTGTTTACATCATGTTAACATGGATGGGACGCTGGCTCCTCCTCTTGTGTATAAAAGCTGTTTAAGTGAAGGACTAGAGAAAAGAAGAACATACTCACTGATTATTTATTGAATGCAGTGTGAAGCTACGAGCTAACTAAAGTTTGCTAACATTACCATGCTAACACAACGATGCAAGCCAAAGGTGATTGCAGCTCGAGAAGAGGACAACTTTTTTCCGCCGCATGTGCTTAAAGGTGCTTAATTATGGTGCGTTCTAATTTGATAACTCCTTTGTGTGAACGCGAGTGGAGAAAGGTTGGAGATTTGTCGATGTAGGATTGACACCGTGTATTTCTCTTAAATTCAATACTGAGGTTTTTGTAAACATCTTTGTGATCTGGGATGATTCACACTTCATGGATTATACCTTGTTGTAGAATTAGATAACTCCCTCCTTCCAGCTAATATGAAATATATGTCGCTCTTTTGTCATGCATCATTGTTAGGTGGGGATGTTTTTGCTGTAAATGTTCAATGAGGAAATTGTAAGACAGAATCTGGATTTTTTAAGAATTTATTTGGTGGAGGTCAGACAACACAAGAACAGAAGACACATGGCTGACAAACTTCTCTTGTTAACAGTGTTGCTTATATTCTGTTAGCAGGTACAGGATACACTTCTAATAGGCTAGAAAGAACACACTTGGCTCCTCTCCAAATATACCTCTGCTGCGAGATGAGATCTCTTTCACATGTGTATTACAGCTACACCAAAATGACCAAGATGAATGAATTCATGAAAATTCGTTCTAACAATCATGTATGCTTGCAGTCCGAAGTCCTTACCAGCCACAACTGATCATGGAGTGAGATCTCAAATTGCTTTATGAATTACATACTCTATGTCCAAGCCCCATACTCCATCAATCCTCCACATCTGCAACCACATGTACCCTAACAAACTGAGGTTAATAGAGATGTTAATTATGATTAGCTACAGATTGGTGAGGTCACAAACACAACATTTACAGCCTGCCAACTTTGACCTGAGTGACAAAACATTTAGCAGACATAAAAGGGGAGTGACCCGCCTGTACAGCATTTATTTGTTCATTGTTTATAGTTTATACTGTATTTAGCTCATACTCGGGACAGTCACAGGAAGGAAGAGGCCCAGCATGGTTTTGGATTGTTGATGAATTCATGATTGTGAATGTCAATGCTTAAGGTCAACTATAAAACAAAAAACAGTTGATAGCAAAATGCTCTGTGCACTGTTTTTATTATGGAAAACACAAGTCGTTAAAATTCTGTTTTTATTTCTGGGCCGAACTATATTACATTTTGGAGAGGCGCAACCTGTTTGAACTTTATTGTTGGAGTTATTTTGTGCTCAAGATGTCAAATTTAATAGTGCAAAATTAGGAATTCAATATTCATGAAAAATGTTACATTTTTATGGCATTAAGTTAAGCATCAGGACCACATACAGCTGAAGAGACCACTACAAAAATATTTATCTGGTTCTCTTATTTATAGGTTTATGTAAAAAATTTAAAAAGTAAAATTATAATTTTTTCATTCAGTTTTTTTTTTTAAATCACAACTGTTTAACATACAACAAAAAGAGAGGCAGTCTGTAATAATTATTTAAAAAAAATCAGAATACGAATTTTTACTTAAACGCATAGTGTGTAAATTCTACCACCAGGGGGCTCTCCATCAAAACAATAACAAAA